AACGGGAGGTTTGCGAACGCTTAGACTGTCCCAAAATCATCAAATAGAACCTTAGGCAGACCTTTAGTGTAGATATCTGCAATTTGGTATCGAGAAGGTACATGTAGGACACGCACTTTACCCGGTTGAACTTTCTCATGAATAACATGTATGTCCATCTCTATATGTTTAGTGTGTTGATGTTGAACTGGATTACTGGAAAGATATATGGCACTAATAATATCAAAATAAAACCAATGTTGCTTTCTATATAGGGCAATGAAGCTCTGGCAATAAATTTCGAACTCAATAGGATTCGAAAACAACATTTGCTACCCCTCTGTATTCTGTTTCAGCACTAGACTTAGATAAAGTAGGTTGTCGTTTCGAGGACCAAGAGATCAAGTTATCACCAAGGAAAACACAGTACCCTGATGTGGACCGACGAGTGTTAGAACACCACCCCAGTCGACATCCGTATAAGAGAGAATAGAAGAGACGGATGACTTATACAAGTGCAAACTAAAATCATTCATACCTTGAATATATATATTATAGTATGTGCTTCAACGCATCCATGTGCTCAACTCGGGGGAGTACATGAAAGAGCAAACTTGCTGAACTGCATAAGAAATATCCGGGCGAGTGAAAGTTAAGTATTGCAAGGCACCACATAGGCGGCGGTAAGAAGTAGGATCATCATATAAAGCACAAGTTTGAGTGCTCATTTTTCCTTTGGAATCAACAGGAGTGGACGAAGGTTTGCAGTTTGCCATTCCCGTTTTTTCCAATATTTCCTGTGCATACTTCTTTTGAGCCAAATTAAACCATTTTTATCTTGAGTAACAACAATATCCTAAAAATATCTCAATTTACCCAAATTTTTCATTGCAAATTCAGAGCTAAGTTGCAAAATAACATGTCGTCATAGAGACTCTAAAGAAGCTGTAAGCACAATATCATCAACATATAGATCATAAGAATGTAAGCAATATCATTACCATAGTGATAAATATACAATGAGTTATCATATTTGCTATGAACAAAGCCGATAGTAGCCATAAACTCTGAAAACCGTTGATACCAAGCCCGGGGTGCTTATCCAGACCATATAGTGACTTTTGTAACAAACAGACATGATTAGGTCGAGCGGGATCTTTGAACCCCAAAGGTTGATACATGTACACAGTTTTATTCAAATTACTATTTAAGAAATCATTTTTGACATCCAATTGATGAATCGTCCATGATTTGGATAAAGCAATGCTAATTAATAAGAATCTTCCAAATAGTAGTCGGTTTAACAATCGGACTAAATGTCTCATCACAATCAATCCCTTCACTTTGAGTCTTACCATCACCGACAAGACGAGCCTTAGGTCTCTCAAAAGAGCCATCGGAGTTCATTTTATGCCGAAAAATCCACAACGAACGAATAATATTCATTTTAGATAGTCGTGGAACTAAATCCCAAGTTCCATTATCAATAAGAGAATCATAGCAATTAAATCCCAAGTTCATGGAACTAAATCCCATGTTCATAGATAGTCATGGAACTATATCAATAAGAACATCATAGCAATTAAATCCCAAGTTCATAGATAGTCATGGAACTAAATCCCAAGTTCCATTATCAATAATATTCTTCCTACATAGCAATTTTCCAATTATGGTCACGAAGGGCATGAATCGGGTTCTTTGGAATAGGTGATATGGAGGTAGAAGTATGGTGACCTTGATCTTGGTATTTCGGATTCGGCTTAAAAATTCCATGCTTGCTACGAGTAGCCATGGAATAAGACGGTGGTGGTGTGAGATTCAGATAATAGGGATGGAAGAGGGAGTACGGGGCCACGAGGAATGCGAGGTCAGGCTGCCCGCGGGCTGGGTAGCATCACCCCATCCAGGTTGCGGAGCAGTCTGTGAGCCCGCATTAGGTTATGTCGAATAACCCAAAATATGGTGCCGCAACATAGGATTGACTAGAGTACTTGATGTATCGTCTAGAAAATCGTATATGTGAGGACTAGGATTGTGAACCTTTGAAAATGGAAACACCGACTCGTCAAACCAAACATGCTTGGCTATAATAAATTTCCGACAAGATATATCAAAGCATTTTTAACCTCTATGATTGGAAGGATATCCAAGAAAAACACAAGGGATAGATCGAGTTTGGAGTTTGTGTATTTTAGAAGAGGAAAAGAGAGGCTAGCACAAACAATTGAACACCCTAAGATGAGAATAATCGGGATGCTTTTGATAGAGAACTTGAGTGGGGGATTTATTACCAAGATTTTTTGTCGGTAAGATGTTGTGAAGGTAGGTAGCCATTTCCGAAGCGTGATGCCAAAAGGATGGTTGCATAGAAGCATGACAAAGTAGCGTACGAACAATGTTATTGATCGTTTTTATTTTTCTCTCTACTTTGCCATTTTGAGGAGAGGTGTATGGATAAGAAAAGCGAAAGGTCATTCCAGTTTTGAAACAAAATTTTTTAAAAGGTTCATTGTCGAATTCATTACCATTGTCACATTGGAAAGCCTTTATTTCTCTTTCAAATTGAGTTCGAATATATGTTTTAACACGAATAAATGAATCATAGACTTGAGATTAAGAAGAGATGGGAAAAGTCCATACAAAATTCGTGTAATTATCAAGAAAAAAAACATAATATTTGTGACCAAGAGACCTAAGAATAGGAGAAGTCCATAAATCACTATGAATAATATCAAAAGGCTAGGCATAGTAGTATGTGACAAAGAATCGTAAAAATGCTTTATTAATTTTCCCAAAGTGCATGAATGACATACGTGTCTAGAAACCTTATTACAATTAATAAGTTTTCTACTACATAAAGAGCTAAGAATTGCATTTCTCGGATGACCTAAATGGGAATGCCACACACTAGGAGAAACAATTGTAAAAAGGTTGACGAAATAAAAGATGAATGGACTTGACGATATGTGAAGAAAGGATAGAGATCGCCACTGCTATTACACCTCACTATCTTGCTCCCCGTCTGCAAATCCTTCACAGAAAATAGAAACATTGTTATCACTAGTGAATTTCCTAACAGAAATGAGACATTTGATTAGTTTAGGAACATGAAGGAAATTTTTAGTTGAAGTGTGTTTGGGGTGAGGAATTAGTGACCATAACCTGTAATTAGAACCTACCATCAGCAACAATAATTGCATTGTATTTACTTTCGCTCAAATGAAAATATGACGATAAGTTACATTGAGAGTTCGTCATGTGTGAGGTAGCACCGATGTCCATGTGCATTGCTTGCTCAATATTGGTTGGCACATAACCCAAAGACGGGTTAGACATGTAGTAGGCTTGAGGAGGTCGAGGACTGAGAACTCCACATTGAGTGTTGGTCTAACTGGGCCTAGAAGCACCCCACGAAGTTAGGCTAGGGCCCTAAGATGGGTACTGTGATGAGGAGGGTAGCCCGTCGTTGGGAATCCATTTCCTCTATGCTCTTGGCCCTTTAAAAGCCTTGGACTTTACAATTTTTAGGGTGTGTTAGGATTTAAATTCTTGATTGTTTGGGGGACCTTGAATTAAAATTAATTTTATCATTACCCTTTTTTTTATTAGAAACCAATAGAGAGTCGCCAATGAGTTTTAGAAAAACACATAAACCTCCCTCACGCCTTTCTCTAAGTAGAGTTCAAAGGATTTTAAGCATGAATCATAAGTTTACTCATGCCCAAATTGGTCTATTAGTACCAGAAATGAGTTCGGGAGCGAGGGTACTAGAAAAAATGTTCCTTTTTTAGAGGAATCGCAATCCTAGCCCTAGTGCGGCCTCTACTAACTCTTCCTTTTTCCCAATTTCATTGCCAAACAATATATGCAATGTGATACCTAAAACTAAGTTAGTTGATTTTATTTACAAACGTTAATCACAAAATGTCTACATTGCAACAAATGTCATTATTCTTATTTATTCCAAATTCGTGAAAAGAACAATAAATAAACAAGATTTACCTTGACTTAGGTGATAAAAAAACAATTAATTTATTCGTTCTAGTCTTTAATTAACAAAAGAATACTATGTGAAATTAGTTAATTAGAGTTTATTAAAAGTTGTTAAACAACACTAATTAATTGATTAAAGTGATTTAGGACAAGAAAAAGTAAAGTGATTTAACTAAGTGCTAAAAAATTACCAATTTTCCTTGCTAAATCTTAGTTTATAATGCAAATGAACTCCTTCTTGTTCGAGAACCTCCACCGTAAGGACAAAGTAACAAAAGGGGTGAGTGTTTAGGACAAGAGGGTTAATTATTGCATAAACTATGAATATTACTACTGTTTTTCTGGCTATTTTTCTGTGCGTTCAAAGCTCTTATTGAACCCCTATTTATAGAGAATGGTTAAGATTAGGATTTTGGACATGTTACCGCAGCAGGGGGCGCACGCAACTCTGAAAGTTGCGCGTGGTTTCCGGGCGCAAGTTTAGGTGTTGCACTGCACAGGGTAGCGTGATTCTTGTTCTTACGCGCGATCGTATGGTAAGATTCGATTAAGTATCTTTCAAATATTCAAAATCTTCGGGAGCGCAGAAGGTTGCGTTGGGCTGTTGTGCGCAACGCTATAAGTTACGCGCGACTTCTTGAGTTGCGCGCAGATTTTCCAATGGCAGCTCTAGGTTTTAACCTAGGCGCCCTAAATCCGTCCAAAATTAGGTTTAATTCATGGATTAGGCCTAATTTCTGATCGGGCTTAGTCTTATCTAGTTTTGTTTCATTTCGTTTGGGTCAAGCTAGTTTGTTTCATATGTTTAGGCCTCAATAAGTAGTCCACTTACATTCTTCACTACAATCCAGCACAAATATGGAATTATTTATCGTCATAGCACTTCCGGTCGGGACAGGGATCAAAAGTAGATGTCTACATGTATGGACATGGAGGGGTTGCCCATGGGCCTTGGTTCCAATAAGCCCATGGGGGAGAAAATGTCCACCCCCCTACTGCTAACCTTGATGTTGTGATGATGCACCCCACTACTGCTGCGGGTGGCGCTGCTGCTTTACGGTGGCAGTGCGTGAGTTACCCCCACGCGTATTTGCAGGATTTTGTGAGCTTCCTGCGGTGGTTTGAGAGACTGTAGAGGAGGTGTTAGTGATGTGAGCCTCCTCACGTGACTCGAGTGAAAGATCAACAACGTTCTCTTGCTCCTCCAATTGGAGCATAGATCGTGGGGCATCAAAGGAAGGTAGAGGGTTGAGATGACGAACGGAAGTACGAAAGGGTTTGTACTCCTCCGAGAGACCTTTCAAAAGTTGGAGAGCCACTCGATTATCGGAGACTTTATCTCCTACATTCTTTAAAATATCAGCAAGAGTTTTGAGATGGGTACAATAGGGCTTGATACCATCAAATTGTTCAAGCTTGGTGTTTGTGAATTGGGCATCCAGTTGCAAAGCCCTAGCAAACTAATTATTGTGGAAAAAAATTTCCTATCGATTTCACGTATCGACCGCTTTGTCATCCGGAGCAATGATGGAATTATGTAGGTCATTGAAATTGTCCCATAAATCCATTGACCCACAATATCGTCAAGTGGTTGCCAGAGAGCCATGTCAATAGGTTTGTCCTCCTTAGCAGCCGGCTCAACAACAGGTTTAGGTTTAGGCTTAACATGATCGATGACCAAATTAGCGCGGCGATGAATTTGAAATAGGGTAAACCAGTTGTTGTATTGTGTACCATCGTAATCAAGAACAATAGGGATGCAAGTCTTGATGTTTGTGACCAAAGACGCAGGATGGGGCTTGGAAGATTCGACCATGGTGGAGAAAGAAAAGAAGAAGAGAAGAGAAGAGCGGAAGAGAGAATTAGGTCGCGATTGTAACCTAGACTCGTGATACCATAAGAGAATGTGAGAGTATTTGCCATGCATTTCTCATTGATTAAACGCAATTATATATACAAAGTATTCTAGGTTAAACTAGGAAGATATACACAAAATAATATACACAATATTATTTACATAAATAGTTTATTTGCATAATCTATCACTTCCTCACCTTTCATTAGCTAGTACAAACTTCAATGCATTATTCTGATCTTAAATTTAAACTACGTAATAAATATTATAAAAAATTAATAAATTGAAAATAAACCTAGAGACTAATCCAATAATATATTACATAGTATTTGATTTTGATTTTTTTTTATTTTTTTATTTTTTTATTTTTTTACCTCTAGCACTTTTAAGATTTTAATTAACCGTGTTTGTATTTTCCTACCTTACATATAAATTTTTTGTATTTCACCACCTTAAAATTAAATATTTTTTTTAAAAAAATTTGCACCAACTAATTGATTATACATCCATTAATTTGTTAGTAGAGAATACACCATGTTCTATTCCCCCCCTTATTTTCCATGATTTCTCCGGCCCTTATTTTTCCTCAACCTCTACCTCCACTTTAATTTCTTCCCTTTGATCATTAACCTTCTATACATTCAAGGGATCTACGTTACATTCTCCTCCTTAAAAAAAAAAAATACATACTTTAAGTTCTCTTTCCTCCTCATCTTCTTCTTCTTCTTCTTCTTCTTCTTCTTCTTCTTCTTCTTCTTCTTCCACTGCACCTTTAATTAAATTGAGCTTGCTATATGCTACCTAAATTGTAAATGCATATTGCCCTTTCATTATTTCTTTAAGAGTGTGTTTTATTCACTTAACTTTTACTTATTTGAATTTGGGAATTCAATGATATTGAAAATATTTGAACTTGGTTAACCCTTATCCGAACTAATTTTTTTGGAACATAACTAAACTTATTAGATCTAAAACATAATTGAAAATAATTTGAATAGATAATCCCCTAATTTAAACCTCTCTCTCTCTTTCTCTCTCCTTGAAATATGAGGGTTGTTTAATTAAAATCCCCACTGTTCTTTATTTGCTAAAAAGAAAAAAAAAAAAATTACAAAGCAAAAGTTAGATAGTGACATAGAGGGAAAGATATATTTAGCAGGTTAAATAGAAGAGTGAAATTTTGAGGTTAAAGATCGATATGAATAGGTGAAGATGGATGTTGTGGGAAGTGTGATTGTAGGAAGAGAATTGTAATATATGTATAAAGGATGTGGAAATGAAACCATATTCAGTATCACTAATAAATTCATGGACATAAATATTTATACAGTAAGTAGCAAAATCAAAAGAAAGTGTTAACTTTAGGTGATAAAATAACCAAAAAAATGGTAGCTAAAAACAAAAGTGGGTATTTAAAATGTGGTAATTCAAAGTCAAAAAATCTATTTATTAACTTCTTATGTTCTGTTTTAATCGCAAGCATTTGGAATTTTACACTATTCACATACACTCCTTTGATCATCTTTTGTATCTTAGATGTTGGAAAAAAAATAGCCATGTGGGATCTTATTAAATTTGTTTCAAAAAACACTTTCAAAATATCAGCTTCTAATAATTTTTACTAAAAAATAATTTTAGATATTATTGTTATAAAATATACATTAACAAGCGTGATATTACCAACATTGCAAATAAAAAATAACAGAGGAATTATATAAAAAAGTTCTTATATAAAGCAGGCTATACCGCGTGACTAGAGATGACAGTGGATCCTAACCTGAGCCAAATCTGTCTTCACGGGTATGAGTCCTCACAATTTGGACTTAACAGATCAGGGTCAAATTTTGGTCTTTTCGAGTCAAAACAAAATTGATAATTACCCCCATAATTTCAACAAATATTCACACATATTTATAATATATATTTTTCCCTCCAAAATACAAACAAAACTCACAGGAGAAAGAATTGTTGCCTCCTATTTCCATCTCCTCAGATTGTCTAGCAATTTCAATTCACCTAAAGTATATTACACAATTAAAAAATAAAAAAATAAAAAACCAATTTGTACGAAATAATGAGAAAGGGGGGAAAGAGAGGGAGACCTCGGCGAGAACTGTCATCTATAATCCAGCGACATCTTCGATGTCATTGTCTTGATTAAATTGAAAGACGAAAAAAGAAAATCAAACAATAACCACGACATGGATATATAGATGAATAGAGAGAAGATGAGATGAGAACTCAAATCAAACATATGTTGGTTCAATTCTATTTTGAGTTGATAACTTCGTAACTTTTGATTCGGAACTCTGAATAGGCTTATGATATGTCGCTAAAAAAAAGAAAGTAAACTTCCAACTCAGTTTATTAGAATCAAATCTATGTATTTTATACAAAGTATGTTTTAAGATGTGGCCAAAAGATGGAGTGCAAGGGTATTGTTTTGAGTTTGTTTTACAGTTTAGCTCATATCTCCTTTATTTTAAATAAAAACTTCTGGACTTACAATATACTCCATATCATCGAAATGATTATATCAAGGGCTATCAAACAATTTTTTTGATGCTATTTTTTTCCCCTCTAAACACTATTTCCAAAAAAAATGAATAATATTCTTAATTTTTTATTCTAAATCCTTTTACATCTACTATTTATACATAGAAAATAATTATATTGACGTTGTAGTTTATAATAGCAATTAAAGATGCGTGGTACCTTTTATTCTTGGAAAGCATGAGCTAGAATTATTATTGCAATTCAATATCCAACAAATTTTAAATGCTTTGGGGAAAGAATCCAAACAATTTCATTTTGACATACGCTTAATTGATAGAATTAAAGATTACAAATTATGGAGAAAATTCGGTAAACTACCTGAAGCCTTACCAACTCCAATGTTACAAACATTACAAAGACAACTACAATACACCTTCCTTACAAGAAACAACTGGTTTGAAAATCCAACTAATTGCCTTTAAACATGCTTAAAGATATACCATATTACCATTATTGTTGGCTTTGTATCCTATAGTCCATTGACCTTAGGGAATTAGAGGAAGAACAAAGAACACACTGCGTTTGGCAGATAATAAAACGGCTCAAAAGAACACCAAAAGTGCTGAACTTTAGGTAAAAGGGGGAGTAAATTAAGACGATCAAGGCTTGATAACACAAATTGAGTCACTTTTACAAATGACTTGGTACCCTTAACTGTAGGCACCTTTAGCCTCTTATCTAAAGAAGAGACCATTACCATACATCCATACTAAAAATCCCCCAAAAGAAACTTATGAGAGCCCCTATAAAAAAAAGGGTTTTTCAAAGCAACGAATTGAAAATTCATATTACTAAGATAATATAAGGGTTACCAAGAGATAACCTTTGTCCTTCCAATAATCTTTTGACTGAAAAATCAAAAGATGTAACAACGCACAAGTAACAAGCCAAGACCAGCCCTAAAAACCAAAACCAACCACAATAAAGGGAAAACCCCAAAACTACCTGAACTCGGACACCAAAACACTTGTAGAGAAGACTAATACACCTCCCTAGCTCCTCTAAAAAACATATATATTCAACCATAAAAGGAAACGCGACCAATAATCCCAAATAGAACAACAACGAATGCATCAAAAAGCATCAAACTTTCGGCTAAGATTCAAAAACGTAAGGAAACAACAAAACATACTAAACACGAACCTAACTTCAAAATACTAGAAATGAGAAAACAACACACAAAGAAGCACAACATGGACAAAAGAAGACTATGAGAAAGAAAGGCTAAAACCAGAAAAGAAACCCTTATTGAGTCCTTACCTTTACCATCCAATTCCGGTTGAATCGAAATCACACACGACAACGATGAAGTTAGCTTCGGTAATAATGCCTAAAAGCCTAGTTAAACTAGATTTGACAAACCTTTATACCAACAAAACCTATCCCAAACAAAAACTCCTTACCTAACCTTTACCTTTACTAGTGTATTTAACAACGATGGCGATTAGGTAAGCTTTGAAAAAGGACCCTAAGGTTGAAGAACCCCACAAACTCCCTGGTGTTGAAGATAAAATGGTAAAAGCCAAAGACCTTTAGGGAAGATGAAGACCTCGTTGGAGAGGAACTGTGCTCCACTTTGTCTTCTCTGCGTGAAAAGCTGAACCCTTGGTGAGCAAAAAGGCGTTGAACAGCACCCATATGACCAAACCTCAATGCTAAGAACTAGAATTGAACTACGACAATGACCAAAGAAATTTTCCCTAAAGAAACCCTAACCCTAACTTTACTTCGAAAACAGCAGAAGCTTTCGGGTTAGCCTTGGGACATTATAATTATTATTATTTTTTCTGACATATTTTTTTTGACACATTATTATTCATAAAATTTACATTAATCATCAATAACTACATACTACAAAAATAGTTAATATTATATCAAATTGACATGCTAGGTATAAATTTCTCCTACACATTTTTTTTACACATTATTCATAAAATCCCTTAATCATCGATAACTATATACTAAAAGGCACACCATTAATGACACGTGTCATCTCTATCCTACTTTGCATCCATTATTTTTCATAAAAGTCATCTAAATATTTTCTTAATATATACTATATCTTTGATTAAGTGGTATGAAATATTAGTTAATAATTAAATAAGAAAATAAAAACTATTAGTGACACGAAGACACATCAGTAATGGCATACAACGTGTCATCTCTTGGTGCATTCATAGTATATATTTTTAAAAAGATAATAATATAATTATAGAAATAAATATTTATAAAAATATAATGATTTCCTTTTCTAAAAATATAGTACTATACTTAAAATACTACTTCGTATTTAGCATATCTTTTTTCAATTATTTTTTTGTCAAATATTCTTAGAAAATATTTTTATTTCTTGAAAGAAATTTATTATATATAATTGAAGTTATTGAATAGCTGTATAATATCTA